CGGCGACGGGGGACGGGGGGCTAACCGACGAGGCCGGGAGAAAAAGCCTCGGATATCATCGTTGGTTATCATATCGGAATGGCGCGGAGAACGGGCAACGGGTGAATCGAGGAAGAGAGACCCGGGCGCCAGGATACCGTCGGGTAGGAAAAAGGGCTGAGAACGCGCGCGCGGTGATCGGATTTCGCGGAGACGTCGCGAGGCTCCGCCGAATGAATAATTGAAAGGAGCGAGACGAATCAGCCGGTGCAAGTAGACGAGAGCCGTGTCGCGCGTGAGATTAATTTAGCTGGTGATTTTCTGCGCGCGATGATTTTCTAATTCTCTACGGTGGTAGTCGGGCGTGAAGGTCGGCCACGAAGGTCGACGCGTGGCAAGCGAACGGATGCTGCCGGCGCGGCGGAGCGAAAGTAATCGGCCACGAGAAACTCTCTCTCTCTCTCTCTCCCTTCCTCCCCCCCCCTTTTCCGCCGCTGCTATCGGCACCGACGACGACGCGAGCTTCGGTGCTTAAAGCATATCCGCTCGCGCTCGCGCTCGCGCTTTCAAGGGGTTGCTCCAGTTGAAGTGGAGTTCAACGGATCACCGTGGGCGATAATACGGGCGCAGCTCGGGTGGTGGGACGCGCGCTGCCGCCTGAGGGAGTGATTTAGTGACCCAACGATGTGAAGGATAATCGTATGAAATATCGCCGCGTCGTAAGCGAGGCCCGTGATCGCGGCATAGTACACACGGTAAATGCCTCGCGCGCGGCATCGTTGACCTCGGGGAATGCGAGGTCCCTCGGTAAGCTTAATGCACGGGAATTTCATACAATATTAAGGAATATTTTTTTCTTACGGACGGAAATACTGAGAGCCGATGGCCATTAACTCCGTGAATCGCTTGCATTAATCAAGGCACCGCGCAGCCGATACCGTACGCAGAACACAAGCTTCCTGCCAAGTACAGCGCCGGAAAATACTGACGCGCGCAGAATGCCGAAAGATCGTTTGACTAATGTTGCGCCGGAGCTCCATTACGGCCGCGCGCGGGCTCTCGCTTCTCTGTCGCTCGTGGAAACGTAGAGTGGTCATTCACTCATGATGACGGCTCGGATCGTTCCGCGGCGATCAAGCGCGGTTTCACCTCTAAAATCGTCCCTGATTGATTTCGTATTGCTTCCGAAGCGAATCGATGCTTTCGTACGGCTGTGTGATATTTACGCGCGAACGGAAACTTCGGTTCCCGTCGCAGGATTGAACGTGAAGCGGCGAGTCGACCGAGTTTCATATTGGACAAGTCGAGTCCCGTTGAATATTTATGTTCAAGCAACGCGAATACCGTAAAATATAAGCGAACTATAATGTGGTTCTCACAATTGTACGGCGGATAATTTATCGCGTCCCGTTAATGAATCGTTCTCCGCGTTTACTAAGTTACGGAACAAAGGAGCGAACGAGAACGATTAGACATCGCGCGCGGAGAGAAAGAGAGGAGAGACAGAGAGAAAGAGAGAGAGAGAGAGAGAGAGAGAGAGAGAGAGAGAGAGAGAGAAGAGATCGAAGCGAATCGCGCTTAGGCACACAATACGATCGCGGACGTCGGCGAACCGGTCCGGCAATTACGTGGAAGATCGATTATCGTCCGTTAATAGACTCTTTGCGGGCACTGCGCGGTGCTTCGCGACGGGAACTTCATAACTTCCTATAATAATTGCCACGCGCACGCGAAACGCTCACGGCGGCGCAGCGTAGCCAGACTCGCATCCACGTATTCCGAAGTCTGAAACGAGAATTTTGAAACGCCCGAAAGTCGCCAGGATAAACGCATACGTCACATCTGACAAACACGAAGGAAATCAGAACTTGCCGCTCAGCCGTTTTATTTATTTATTGTTTTCTTATGTTATAATCGATCTAACGTATGAAGCAAATAGATAGATAGTTTGGAACGAAGCGACGTCCCCTCTCTCTCGAGAGTCCAAATTCGCTCATTTTGTCCGTTTGCGCGTTGCGCAGCCGCGTAGGTTCGGCCCTGAATAATACGTCGCTCGTCTTTCGCCGGCTAAAGAACTGTATTACCCGCATACATTTCACCAGGACATCCCGGCGACTTGCGTGCCACCGATTAACGACTTATTTCTCTAATGAACGAGTCGAGAAAAAGGCTCGTTCCGCGTTGGAAAAATTTCGCCGCTTGACTGGCCGTGCGAGCGCGAGCGGCGGCCTCGCATTATCCTGAGGTCGTTTCTTCGTCGGACGCGTCCCGGCGGGCCGCCATGTCGAACCGTCCTCCGCTTGCATATCTCTTCGAACGTTACGAGATCGCGCGGCGAGAGGAATCAGAGGAGCAAGAGCATATTTCGCTCCGACCGGTGCGAAACGCGCTCGCGTCATTCGCGGGTCTCTCCCTCCCTTCGAGTCATCGCTTTTGACTGTTGCTCGTTTCTCGCAGCGGCTCACTCGAAACGTCGCATTATCCTGTCCGCGCACACCCACACCGTTTCATTCTCGCCTCGGAGAGCCGAAGAATTTCCCAGATTATCCGCGGCCGATGGACGAGCCCCGTTTTCGCAACGGCGCGCCGCGCCGTTGCGTCATGTCGTGCCTCTCGAGGGCCCGCATACCAGATGCGTCGCGCCGAGTCATCTGCGATTTACGGCGATAACTTTTGCAGCCGGACAATTTGTACTTGTTGCGCCACGACGGCGACGGCTGCGGCGCGACGCGGCGCGGCGCGGCGCGGCGGTCGCTTCAGACGCCGGCGACTGCGGCCGACCGCCGCCGTCGCACCGTCGCACCGTCGCCGGCACGTCCGGTATCGGACACCACGACGACGTTAGGGGCGGCGGCACCTCGCCTCGCCGGCCCGCGGTCAGCGCGCTACGGCTAGAGGGACGCGGAGGACGCGTTTGGACGGAGGAGCGGTCCTACCGAGGGAAGAATCGAGAATAACCCGTCCGAGGACGAAGCAAAAATCCGTTCGCGTTCTCGAAGATTCTTCTCGGCGAGGAGGAGAGAGACTCGATAACGAGACAACGCGTATCTTTCGAACCTGTAGCGCAATGTATTCTTCGACAGATAAGAATTGAGACGAAGCACCGGCGTGAGCAACGCGATTACGATCGTATCGGTGTGTTCCTAAGAGGAACGCCGACACCTGCTACTCCGGCTGTAACAATTAAGTAAATAAATTCGCTACTTTGATCTGAACGCGGCTTAAGGGAACGTTCAGGGGTGCGGGAAGGAGGGGGCAAGGAGCGAGGAGCCGAAGGAGAAGGTTCGCGCGCCATCCTTAAAGGCAGAGGCGCGAGCATGCTGAGAGCCTTCCGAGGCACCGTATTTTATAACCGGTGTAGACAGCCACCGCACATACAGGCGGTCCTCTCCTTTCCTCTCCTCTCTTCGCTTCCCCTCTTTTCGCTTCTCTTCTCTTCTCTCGGGCCTCTCCTCCGCTGGTGTGTGTACCACGTAGCGAGGACGAGACCCGCGCCCGTTCTCTTCGCGGTCCTTGCGAGAGCGAGCGAACGTATAAACGAACGAACGAACGAACGAACGAACGAGCGAACGAGCGAACGAGCGAACGAGCGAACGAGCGAACGAACGAACGAACGAACGAATGAACGAACGAACGAGCGAACGAACGAACGAACGAACGAACGAACGAACGAACGAACGAACGAACGAACGAATGAACGAACGAACGAACGAACGAGCGAACGAGCGAACGAGCGAACGAACGAACGAACGAACGAACGAATGAACGAACGAACGAACGAACGAACGAACGAACGAACGAACGAACGAACGAACGAACGAACGAACGAACGAACGAACGAACGAACGAACGAACGAACGAGCGAGCGAGCGAGCGAACGAACGAACGAACGAACGAACGAACGAACGAACGAACGAACGAACGAACGAGCGAACGAGCGAACGAGCGAACGAGCGAACGAACGAACGAACGAATGAACGAACGAACGAGCGAACGAACGAACGAACGAACGAACGAACGAATGAACGAACGAACGAACGAACGAACGAACGAACGAACGAACGAGCGAACGAACGAACGAACGAACGAGCGAACGAACGAACGAACGACCGAACGAACGAACGAACGAACGAGCGAACGAACGAACGAACGACCGAATGAACGAACGAATGAACGAACGAACGAACGAACGAACGAACGAGCGAACGAACGAACGAACGACCGAATGAACGAACGAACGAACGAACGAACGCGGGACCCCAACTGACAACGAGCACGATACTCCGACCACCACGACGACGACGACGGAGATGCTTTCCGATCGTCTTTCACCTCCTCTTTCTCTACTCGCGCACGATGAGGTGGAAAAAGGACGCAGGGAGGGTTTCGACGCGTAAGACACTCTCGGGGAGGGGAGAGGGAGCTTCCAGCGCGTTGCGTTGTGCGCACTTTAATACGATTATCTGATCGTGGACGGACATTCTCAGATTATTTATATTACACGCTTGTACTCGCAGCAGCTGCGAGATTTAAGGCTACTTTAAACGATTGTAAAATGCATACCGCGCGCTGTATGCACGGGAGGACATGATTCTCTCCCACCCCGGCCCGTTTTCTCCCTCGCCTTCTTCCTCCGCCGTTCGTTTTTGTTAAATATATCGGAAGCGATGTATTGTAAAGTGTGATACGATATGCAGGCGAGTCGATGGTTGATTTACGGCCGGTGTTAGATCGACTTTAGTCAGTCAACTTTCGTTCAACCGATCCTTCGTTCCTTCATCAGTCGGAACTAGGCTGAGCAAAGAGTAGTCTTCGTCGATTCCTTTTCGCAATGGTGAAGTCGGCCTGTGCCACTAATGCGTGCTGCCGCACGCATGCATTCTACAACAGACGGACTTGTCGTCAGTAGAGTCAGTAGAGTTTTGTAATTTTTCGGCCGCCAGATGGCGATACTACCGGGTGTACTCGCAGTCAAGATGTTGCCACGATGGGTTGTAGGGAGGCACGAGCGACGAAAAGTTAAGATCATGCTTCGGAGGAATTTCATTTCTGAAGGAGCAGTTTTGCTACCTCTTGCCTAACACGGAAGTAGATTTAACCACGATGAGAGGAGCAAAAGCTTCTTTCCCTGAGCGTGAGGACGACTGAGCTCTTGGACTCGTTCCAGGGACCTGTCATCGATGATCGTCCGCGCACTCCTTTGTAAGTTCCTTCCTTAGTGCAAGGGGCGAGGGGAGAGCAGCTTTCTGAGTGGCCCTTGTAAGATTCTGGAAATTGATTAGCTTGAAATATATACTTTCCGTGGCCCAAATCTCGATCTTTGAGAAGGTTGGATAAAGTTGGCACATTCGCGAGGAAGAGTCGAACTTCACAGATAGACTTTTTGTAAAGCTGCCGGAGTAAGTATTAGATTAAACTGATGCGACGCGGAGTAGAATCTCTCGTTCCGTGACTACGTTATGTATACTACAAGCTTGTATGTTAAGCTTGGGACGTGGGAAAATCTGTAACAGATACAACAGGTTATTATGTAACGAGTTTTTGAGTGTGAAGCGCGGAGGGCTTCGAAAAAAGCATCGTTTCAAGCGATTATCCGCTCGAGGAATCTAGGCGGTTTTCTCTCGAAGCGAACAAAGCGCGCGTTGCTGTCTGTGCTGTGTGTGCGATCTCATAGCTCCGGTGCCGGGGTCCGTCTTACCGAAGGGAATCCGCATCGGATTGTATTCCGCATACACGCCGATTGAAATCGATATTCCTCGCAAGGTCGGGCCGCAACAAAACGAGCGGAACAATGCATCACGCGGTGTACTCTCGCTCTCTCGAGCGGCGGAATAGCAGGTACGACTGCTCGCGATTTAATACACTCAGCGATCCCGTGTACCGCGGCGCGCGTGTATATTGTTGCTCTTCCCCGAGTCTTCCTTTCTCCTCCGGGTAGCACGGACAGCACCGGGATCCTTTGCGAAATATCAGTCGTCCGGAGGTGCAAGAATACTGCAGGTGAAAAACTCCCTTGAGAAACGAGTTTCCGTTCGCAATTCGACACAGTATCCGGTAGACTTGTATAAAACTTAATAACGATCCAGTAGTGTGGTGAGAGGTGACGAAAGAACCTCAAAGAGAGAGAGAGAGAGAGAGAGAGAGAGAGAGAGAGAGGAAGAGAGAGAAAGAAAGAAAGAGTGAGGGCGAGAGAGGGGAGAGGGGAAGAATACCAAAGAGGTGGTAGCGCGCAAGCAGAGACAGCCGAAGTCAAGTACCGTGGCCGGACGCGCCAACGCGTCGTATCGTACAAAAAGGAGGCTCCGGTCTGGACCCAAATCAGTTGGATATATCAGCAACGATATTGCATGGCATTAATTCATTAGCATGATTATCTGGGTGGAGCAATGAAGCGGTAGAGTCCTTTCTACCTCGAGTCCTTTATACCGTCGCTTTGTCTTACGCTCTCGTACGGTTTCGTTTCTTCCTCTTCTCTCTCTCTCTCTCTCTCTCTCTCTCTCTCTCTCTCTCTCTCTCTCTCTCTCTCTTCTTATTTCTTTCATCGGAAAGGAGAAGCAGAGGATGTCTCGAGGTCCTACCTCCCGCACCACGTTTTGAGAGGAGGTCCCGCGCGCGCATGGCCCAACAAATTTCCCTTCTTCCGCACGAACTCGCCCCTTTTTTCTCCGTTCGCTTCCCTCCCAAGTTGGCGACGACGCTACTCGAGCCTCGTCGAAGAGCGCATCGTCGCTTCAAGGTGGCAACAGTGTTGGCGGGAAAGTTATTCGACCGCTTGCCACTAAATCATTCCTCGCGGACTCCTGCTTTATTATCCTCCGTCCTGCCTCCACCCGTGGCAACGGTGTTGGCTTTTTGTCTCTCCCTCTCTTTCCTCCCCCCCCCCTCTCTCTCTCTCTCTCTCTCTCTCTCTCTCTCTTTACTCTTCTCTCGCCTTTCTCACCTCCCTTTGCGATGGCCGCGCGTCTCTTTCTCCCAGAACCCTTCTATTAGTACATCGGATAGATGCGTTAACGGTCCTGTGGAAAAATCGCGATGGATATTATAACGCGCGGGAATGTTGCAAATTAGACTTCTATTATGATAATTCTCACACGGACTCGCGGCGACAGCGGCTTTAAAGCGAAGCTGCGAAGCGCTTTGAAGATATTAATAACGCAGGGTTTATTAGCGCACGGCGCGTATTATGGGAGAGACGAGTCGTAATATTTTATAATTCTCGCGTGTTTCTCCGGCGTGCTCCGGCGCACGATCGCCCGATAAATACCGATAAAGTACACACGTGTACCGTGTGTGGCTAATTTAACATAATACGTCCACGCTATAATTTCGTTGTTTCTCATTATAACCGCTCGTTTCACGGCCGGTTATCAGATCGGCCAGGATATAATGACAAACGCTCGAGACGAGTATACCGCGGCCGATTTATCGACTTTCAGGAGCCCTATTCTAGTCCGCCTATGCGATCCGTTAGCGCGCGCGCGCGCGCGCGCCCTCGCGATCCGCCTACGTGGAAAGGAATATTTTCTCCGCGCGAACCGCCCCGACCTCCTTAATTGTAGCTCAAGATTGCAATCTTGTTCTTTCGACGCGCCCTCCCTACGATTCTCACGACTCGCACATTGTTCCCGAGTGGAGAATATTATTGCCTGGCAGATAGCAAATTTAATTTCTTCCCGCGCCTTCTTACATCGCCTCATTCAAAACCGTCATCAGGCGTGCAATTAATCGCGAAAAGCTCGACGAAGAAAAAAATGCTGCAGCTCCGTGTAGTGAGAAAAAAAGGGGTTGAGGGGGAGGAAAAAAGGAACCGACGGTCGCGACGGTGCGCCGGGACTTGGAGGGACTTTATCGTACGGTTCGCTTCGCTCGCAGACGGAGATGAGCACGGGAACGTGAATGTAACCGCTTAATTCACTGCGAAATGCAGCCACGTTCTTCCGCGAGGGGAGATAAACGCGCGAGAATGACTCACGACGTTAATCATCGTTCCCGTTATAGTTTCGCGAGCGATCGGCGGGGCGTCTTATCGCGACGAATCAAGCGACGGCGGCGTCGTAACGAAGTAACCGATCATCGGGGCGGGAAGAGGGGGTGCGCGATCGCGATCAGGTCCTGCGATTCCACGTTCCCGTTCAACATGGGCGGGACAGTTCCCTCTCTCTCTCTCTCTCTCTCTCTCTCTCTCTGTTGAGTATTCTCGGATCACGGCTAGATGGCCGGCGCGATACCTCGAACGCGAGAAGAAATTTTAAACTGTCATTAAGGCAACTCTGCCTGGGTTAAGGGGTTCATTACCGGTCGGGACTCGCGTCTCAGTTTCTTCTGCGTCCCGAGTTCTTCCCGACGACTGGCGCATGAGAGAGGGAGGGCGACTACCACTGTACCCTGCAAATTACGTCTCGTGCCGGTAAATTTACGAGTGCCTTCCCTCCCTGTCTCGTTTTCCTCTCCCCGTCGCCTTAATCCCGCGTCCGGCCGATTGCGCCGGCAATTACCGGATCGGCCGATCGATCGTAATCTGTCGATCGGGTAGCGCATTACTGATACTCGCCGTGAGCAAGAATTAGAAATCGTTCGCGCGCCGCGGCGATCGATCATCGAGCGCGAAGCGTTTTCTGCTCCCGAGAAAAATGCTATTTAAGCCGCGATTCAGATGGACAAAAGTCCTATTGTCTGGCTACTCAAGACGAAGAGCGACAGCCTGTCCGTCAGTATTAACGTATCTATCATCATTTTCACTCTGGACTCACCTCGACTCGGCTCGTCTCGCTCTTCTTCCGAGGCAAGATCCAGCGCTCAAGGTGTGACGCCGCTATCCACAGGACGAAATTAGCGTCCAACTTTGCAACCGGGAATTCAAGCTCGGTCGCTTTCGCTCGCGCGAGAGACAAGGGCGGAGACAAGTCACCACCTTGTGAGAGCGAGAGCGCGGAGCCGGCCGGTGAAAATAGTCCTCGGCCGAGGCGTCCTCGGCGTGGAAAAAATGGGGATGCATTTTCGCTAACGACCGCGCGAAATCTCGTAACTTGTATTACATCGGGGGTATGGGGGTGGGTAGAGGTAGACCATGAATCGTCGCATAAATCACACGCGCTGGGAGCACCGAGGCGTCCATCACCGCCCCCACGTCCGTCGGTCGCGGTAACGTCTTCGGGTCCTCCTCCCGGGGAGGGCAAGGAAAGGCTCGCTCGCAAATTAGTCACTGGGCCCAGATTACGAATGGACCACCTCCCCGGCGATCCGCGGGTATCCCGTTTCAAGAACGCCGGGCGAAATTAAACAAAGTGCTTCGCCCGGGTAGATTCCGCCTTCGGGGAGGCGCGACGACATCGCGCCCTTCGTCATCCGCGCGTGTCGTTTTATTGCGGCGCAGCGAGAACAAAAAAGAACGGGGGAACAGACAAATGGAATCGATAAATTTCAACCGGCCGGTTAATCCATCGCGGCACCGCGGGACAAACTTCCACCGAAGACGCCACCGGACTTGACTCGGATTTTTTCCTCGTCCCTCCTCCCCCCTCCCCCCCCCTCCGCCCTCCCTCTTGAGGGACTTTCACAATTTGCTTCGTTAATTTGTATATATCAGGCAGCGATTCGCTCGTCGCTCCTGCTGCCTGCTAAGTATATTAGATGATTATTTCGCTGCAGGTACCATCATGCTCTCTTCGCACCCTGGCGTCCTTGGCGATGCCCTCTCCGGACGATTTTGCGATACGACCTCGGCCCACTTACCGCTCTATGGTCGCTATTATCATAATTATGAAAAGCATTTGCATTTCTCTCTCTCTCTCTCTCTCGAGTGCGCGCCCGCGCGCGGGGATTTAGTCGTCAGGGCGAGGAACGCGAGTAAGGAACCGCATTCCACGAAGTCACGGTGTGAGCCCGGTGTGCTCTCCTTTTTTATTTAAAACCGCGCTCCGCTTAATGAATCGGAGATACGCTGCGTGTGTGGAATTGCTTTCGCCGAGACTCGTGCGAAACGCGCGAGCGTGTCTCGATCGAGCGCGCTCGTACGTCGAGCCACTCTGTTTTATTGCGCCGCTGACCTTGATTTATCTTTGTTGCAGGTGCAAGCCACCGATCCCGATTGCGGCGTAAACGCGATGGTCAATTATACCTTGGGCAGCGATGGGCTGGAGAGCGAGCAGCTCTTGGTGCACAGCGAAACGGGCGATATTTGCGTCCGGTCACCCCTGGACAGGGAAACGGCGCCCTACCTTGAGCTACCCGTCATCGCCACCGACAGAGGTGAGTGTCACTTTTGTTTTTATCACATTGCGTTTACGTGCTCGCCGTCACGGATCATTTGGCGAGCCTTCCTCACAGCTTCCCCTATCTCTCTCTCTCTCTCTCTCCCTGTATCTCATTAACACAGCGTGAAACGGAGCTTTCAGTTTGCTCCCGTAGACGTAGGAAGGAAAATTACACATGTTTGACGCTGCTAGCGAATGTTAAAGCCCCGGCTTCGATTTATCACGAAACACAACGCTATAGCGCGAAACGTCCCGCAAGTCTATTTTCTGAGTCTCTTCACGACACCGCGTCGTGAAAAGTTGCAGGATAAGAGTTCACCGTCCTTCAGCGAACGCTCAACAAATGCCTGTTGCAATTCTGGACATCCGCGCGCGCGCGCCGATTCGGTCGGATCGCGAAATCTCTCGCAGAATCGCGATCTCCTGTTTCGATGTAGGAACAATGCCCGGTGTTGCTAGTCGCGTCCTACCAGCCTCGGTGTGCGCGCACACGACGTCGATAAAGGGGACGAGACAAGTAGAAACGAGCAGAAACGGCGGGCGCGCGGAGACACGCGCGCAGAAACGCGGCTCGGAAACGGATAGAAGAACGAGGTAGAAGTGGCGCGTCGCGTCGTTGCGTCGACGCAGAGAGAGAGAGAGAGAGAGAGAGAGAGAGAGAGAGAGAGGGAGGGAGCGAGAGAGCGACAAAGAGAAAGGAAGAAGAGGTGGCCCGTTGGCTATCGGTCCGTCGAGATCTAGTAGCTCTGTAATAGGGTGTATGATTTATGTCGCCGTTGGGTTCGCGCGGCCATTTTCAACGCGGCGGCGGCTTGGTCGCCTTATGGGAAAGGACAATGACTGAAAGTCCATTGATCCATCGCGGGGCGGTCTGCTGGGGCTACCGTGCAGCCGGCGGTCATTGCGTCCGCCGATCGTCGCCTCTCACGGAGGTGTTGCAGCGCGGCGCTCCGTTAGGGCGGAAGGTGAGGAGGAGGCAGGATAGTATCCGAGAAAGAAAGTACACACACCGGCGGCCGAAGGTAGACGCGCCGCTGAAGAAGCCAGCAAGGGCGCCGTGCCGGGGAGGGTGGGAAGGATCTCGGGGCAGCTACGGAGAGCGTAGCTATTGTTGGCATCACGCTGTTTTGCAAACAGGCCCGAACGCGTCTCCGTAATTGTCGCTCTCGTTATCGATACGATTGTCCAGCGCGCACCGGCAGCACCGGCGACACCGGCGAGATACAATAGAACCGGCCGGATATGACGGCCGCGACGTGATTTATACCGCTCGCTGACGAGCGCGACGAGCGCGCGGGGCTCTCTCGTACGCTGCGCCGCCGCCGACGATCCCTTGCGCAAATAAGCGCTTCAAAGTGTATGCATTATTGTAACAGAGTTGCATAAATCTCCACCTGACGCAAGAGACGGAGTCTTGAGCGGCTCGCTCTCGGAAGTATGCCAACGGCGAGATACGCACGGGGAGAGTTCTGCGGTAAAAATCGCTGCGGAATTTTACAGCCGACAGATATGTAATGCCTGCCGTCCTAACTCATATTGTGCTCTCTCGTCGATATTGCAGGAATTAAAGTCTCAAAAATTACCAGACGAAAAAATATAGTAAGGAACTAAAGAGAATTTCACCAACACAAAACCGCAACGTTCTCTCCGCGTGTTCACTCGCGCAGGCTGGATTCGTGCGTTCCGCCGGCAACGCCGGCTGCGCGCGGCGAAATAAATGTTTTTACCGCGGCTGAGTAATTTTTGCCGTTTCCCGGGGATATATCAAGGTCCTTCTTCAGGATAACTCCAGTTAGATTTGTAGTAAGGCTGTGGCCGCGTCGCTCTCGCGGTATGCGGTTGCAAGGTGCGAGATCAAATGGAGAGAATATATCTTCCGATAACTATCGTTTGAGTCTTACCAACGATAACCCCGCGGCCGGCGATCTGTCGCGCTAATGATCGTGAATTATTCGTGAGCGCGAATAGCTCGGCGCGGAAGCGTATTCGCGGCAACACAGAGGCGGGTGGCGAAAGCGCGGCCAGAAAGGGTCCTGCGCGCCGGTATGCACGGCGTGCCATGTTGAAATGCAAGTGAAATTTATATTTGATAAGAAATCGGAAGGAGAAAGGAGGGGGGAAGAGAGAGAGAGAGAGAGAGAGAGAGAGAGCGATAGAGAGAAGGAGAGGCGAAACGCACAACACCGACGTCCGGCGGTATCGAAGGCGACGGGGATCCGCGCGCACAGAAAAGTCCCGTCCTCTCTAACGAAGCGCGCCACTGGCACCCGCGGTATATTACATCTCAATCAAAGTCCGGCGCGGCGCGGAAATGATTACAAATACCTTCCGGCGATTTGCACGTCCTCGCGTCTAAAACTTCCTCGTGCTGCCCGCGCAACTCGCGCGCGCTGCGCGCTACTCATTAATCCTCCTCCTTGCCTCTTATTTTTACACCGGCGATTAATTCTTCTTATTGCCTGCCGGTAATTCGCACGGAGAAAATCATTTTGGCCGCGACGGCAGTAAAGCGAATCGCGAGCCACCGTGAACCACGCGGGCCAGGTGTGCATGATTTATACCGCCGGCTGACGTCCGCGGACGACCGAGAGAGAAAAGAGAGAAGAGAGAGAGGAGAGAGAGGAGAGAGAGGAGAGAGAGAGAGAGAGAGCAATTTTTCCTTCCTCATCTTCTCATGGCGCGCGGCGTATCGCGAGCTCGCAAAAGGCTGACGTTACGCGTCACTTCGGTATTTATCGGCGGGAAATAACGCGGAGCGAGATAACACCGAGCCTCGCCGTGCTAACAGCGCCGGATAACGCGCCGGCTCGCGCGATAATTATCACCTGCGAGCTGCGGATCGAAGCGGAGTTCTCTGCGGGAGAAGATAGCAGCGCGAGCGGACAATTTCCTCGAGCGAGTCATCTCGCTCGCTCGGTCGGAAGCGGACGGATCGTACGGTGGTGAACGCGAGGCGCCGGCCCCTCGAGGGTTGCCGTACGGCAGCGGAAGGACGATGAGAGGGGGCAAGGAACGGGGTAACGCTCGGGTAACTCGATGGATAATAAATTTAAAGCGATACCCCGTTGATTGTTCTCGCCAGCTGTGTGCTGAGACGCCGAGGAGAACGCGCGTCGGCATGCGGGGAAACCTCTCGGATCCGCGTAGGTACGTGGGAAATGCGAGAGAGAGAGAGAGGGGGGGGGGAGAGAGAGCGCGATCAGCAGCGATTAAGTTAATCGTGAGCGCGAAATATTGAACGAAAAAGGGAACACAAATTATACATTGTAGACTCGCGATACGTAAAATCACCGCCTGCAAAGAACATTCGACGCATTCGCGATGCGATGCGCGATTAGCGATATTACGACGGCTCTCGTGCGCGGATCTCGCGAACTGGATTTTCCGTCAGCGAGAGCGGCCCTTTGAAGCCGCTTTGGATGGGTGGGGATGAGGAGGGGGGGGGGATGGGAGGATGGGGGAGGAGGAATTTTCAACGTTGCGCCGGCTTTCGATTACACGCGAGCGCGCGATATCTTAATGCAATTTCTACGCTAATCCTTCCCGCTGGATCCTTCCCCTCCCCCCTCTCCTCTGCTGGAGTCCCTCGGAGTCGGCGGGAGGGAGGTATCGTATGCCGCCAACGGGGCGATAGATTTTATCGCGCTTCTTCGATTTATCGTCACGTTGACGGAAAGAAATCGACGGAGATGCTATCTTTTTTCACGAGATTATATACAACGCGCGCCCGCGCCGCGGCGTGAGGCGCGCGCAGGTAAAGAAATGTAAAGAAAGGCGCGTCCGCGAGAAGAGAGAGAGAGAGAGAGAGAGTGAGAGAGGCGCTCCGGCTACCACCCCGCGGTGCTTCGGAACTGCGTTGGAGGTGACTTTATTGGCACCGGCGTCGTAAATCACCGGCGGGCTTAAACTCCCAGTCGACTGTCATTGTCCGCGCCGTTTTCGCGCTTATTTATTTCCCCGCCCTCTAAAGCCGCGTCCGTCGACGCGCCCCGTGCGTGATACCGCGAGTATAATCTCAGATATGTCACCGGCCGAGCTTTCAGTTCGCACATTGTAGCGGAACTCCGGAATCGGCGCGCGCGCGCGGCATATTAATGGAACCGCTCGTTTTCGACCGCGATTGCAAAGAGAGAATCGCGGCTTCATACGAGGCGCGCCGCGAGACAAGTGCTCTCTCGCTGTGCGGCTGGACTCGTCCGCGAATGATTCACGGTAATACTGTTTTCTCGACCTTGCGACCGGGTCGCAAAAGGGATCGCCGGAATTAAGGTGACGTGCAGGTGAATCAGCGCGAGATTCACGTCGCGCGAATTATTCCCTCGCAAATCCCGGGGCGCGCGTGCGAAAGTGCCCATAGTGTAGCTCGCGCCTCGAAATTCTCGGCCTTTGCGCGGCGTAATTTCATCGCGAGAAGTTGAGCACCGCCGCACCTACCGGCCGCATAAATCTCTCTCTCTCTCTCTCTCTCTCTCTCTACTCTCTCTTTCTCTGTCCCCCTCTCTCTCTCTCTCTCTCTCTCTCTCTCTCTCTCTCTCTCTCTCTCTCTCTCTCTCTCTCTTTCTCTCGGAACCCTCGTATCCCCCGTCGCCACGAATCTCGAAAAGGACTCATCCCGACGATCGACCGCGTGAAATTAAAAGGGCCGCACTGCCAGGCACAAAATATCAGGCCGTGCATTAAAATGCCGTTGAACTATCCCCAGGAAGTCGGCGGTATAATCCTTATACGCGCGCACTCTGTCTTCCGTATCGGACCCGAGGGACGCCCAATCGATTTTTCGGCCAGCGCAAACGAAAAGGGAAAAAAGAAAACAGACAGAAAAAACAGATAGAGAGAGAGAGAGAGAGAGAGAGAGAGAGAGAGAAGAAGAAGAGAGAAAAAATAAAAACAGAGAGAGGGAGGGGGGGAAGAGGGGAAAAAGGAAAAACGTCACGAGCGCGATATGATCTATGGAGAGCCGTGGACGGCCGTGTCGACAATTAAGAATTGATCGTCATTAGGAGCGCGACAAGCTTTTTCAATAAGTTTCGAAGAGCGAACTGCGACCGAGTGTCCGCGGTCCTCGAGATCGGTGCCTCGATATCTCGATGCTCCACGGACGTCGCCACGGTGTCCGGCGAAGCCCAAAAGTCTCGTCCATCCGCGCCCGGAGAAGGGAGCACGGTTCGGTGGCACCGCCGAGAGGCAAGGAGCGGCAGAAGGAGGAAGGGAGATCGGGAGAGCAGCCCCCTTGACGCATGACTCCAATGACACTCGTGCCTATAAATCTCCTCGCGCTCGGAGAGCTCCGCGCGCTCGAGAGTCCATACATTACTATGAGTTACGGTTGTAAACCGTTTAAACATCGGATTACCCGTTTTACATACTGTCTCCGATATTAACACTTGCGTCGCGCCTCGTCTAAATCTGCGCCGGCGAGCAACAGGAGCCTCGCGCGATCCGTCCTGTCACGGCCGATTCTTCGTCGCTCGCCGGCATTACGGCTCGCCTAGAATTGCTCGCGCATCCGAGAAGATGGCGCGATCTCGGTAATCTCTGATTAATTGCGAACGCGCTGGGCATACAACATAGTTTGGCTCGCGGCTCGCTGTGTTGCTTTTGACAAAGTGGAACTCTGCCTCCCTCCCTCCCTCCCTCTCTCTCTCTCTCTCTCTCTCTCTCTCTATTGCCTTATGTTTCTCTCTCTTTCTCTCAGTTTTACCTCTGCATCGGAGGTAAACTACCAGTCGCGTAGGACAAACACACTTCGCCGCATACGGAGCACGCAAGACGAATCGCAAAGTCTGCGAGTGAGAGGGAGAGACAGAGAGAGAGAGAGAGAGAGAGAGAGAGAAAGGGGACGCAGCGATAATCGCGTGGTTGCGTGGTCTTTTCTGCGGAACGCAGTAATCATCATCGATCGTGCTTACCGGTCTCGCGCGCACGCACGCACCTCGCCGGTCGATCGATCCTGTCAGCGGCGCGATTACTCGCGAGCAGAGGTCTTGTTGCCCAAAAGAGCAGCACGGCCGTCAAGACACTGCGAGAATGCAGCCGTTTGGGGACCTGGAAAGTTTCTCGCGTTTGAAATATTACTACGAGCGGCGCATTACCTCCGCGAGCGCGCGCGCGCGCGCGCGCGCGTTCTCTGGCGCGGGTATAAAGAGCCCACGTCGACGCACACACGTGCTCGCGTGTGAGCCCGAATAAAACTCTTCCAAGGCGGAGAGGAAGGAGAGGGGGAGCGAGAGAAAGAGAGGGGGGAGGAAGACGGGATACCGAGCGAGCGTGAAATAAAAAAGAAAAAAGAGGAGCACTCGAGGGGAGGAAACGAGACGGGACGAAAAACCAAGGAAAGAGAGAGAGAGAGAGAGAGAGAGAGAGAGAGAGAGAGAGAGAGAGAGAGAGAGAGAGAGAGAGAAGGAGCAGCGGCTGATTGGGTCCGAGAAAAGGCCGCGCGGTACGGGACAACCGTGATTTATGTCGACCGGCTCCGGGCGCGTCCCCGTAGATTCGTTCTCTACGTCGGCTAATACCCCGACATTATTTGGCTCGATAAGAGGATTTCGACCGGGAGTGAAATAAACATAATCGCTCCGCCGCGTACTTCTCGCCTCCGTGTGAGATGCGCGCGTCCAGCTGGATCGGGCTCGCGAGCCCGAATTCTCAGCGCTGCCAGAGGGCTCGATTCGGGATCCCGATGATTGTCCAGCGAACGAAATGTCGCGAGCCCTTACGAGCGTGGATAAAAGCGCTGAGTCGCGCGGTGCGTCGATTCGAACTCGCTCGATTACGCTCACGTACTTACTTCGATTGTTCCATTGCTCTTGTCGCGCGATTTTCTGTAACGGAATGTCCGTGCTGCTTGCAGGTGGACTGAGCACAATAGCGATCGTGCGCATCCAGGTGACGGACGTGAACGACAACCGGCCGATCTTCCAGCCTCGCAGGTACAACGTGACCATGAGGAACGACAACTCGATGCACGGGCCGGTCCTGAGGCTGGTAGCGACCGACCTCGACTCCGGTACCTTCGGCCAGGTCGCCTATGACATCAGCAGCGGCAACGACGCCGCGGTATTTCGCATCGATCGCAACACCGGCGACCTGTACGTAGCGAGGCCGAGCCTGCTGTCTCTGTCGATGATGCATCAGCTGAACGTCACGGCGACAGATGCGGCCGGCCTGAAGAGCATCGCCAACGCCGAGGTCAAGGTCACCGTTTCCACCGACTCGCATAGGTTCGCCACCTGCGAGAACCCGCGCTATATCATCACCGTTAAGGAGGATACCTCGCAGAACACCGTCGTCGGCGGCGTCAAGAATACCGCGACGACGTCATCCTCCTCGACAGGTACGTCAATTCGCTTTTATGCGGGCCTTTTCATTGGCCGTTACATCGCGCAGCGCGTCATCCCTCGTCGGACGCGTGCCAAGGAATCGCTGCGACTATGACTCGATGAATATCCGAGCCGAGAGACTTTTCTATAACCGCCCGCTCGGGCGTAATTTCACACTCGGCTTAAATTCCGACCGACGCACTCCTTTTGCCTTTTCTCCTCCCTTCTTTCTCCTCCCCCCCCCCTCCCCCTCTCCCCCCGGCAAGTCACTTTCGCATTCACCGTGAATCATGACAATGTACAGCGCGCGTTTCTTTCACTGAGGTCGGCAGTTCAATTCTTCGACGGGGCGATAACTGGCGCGAGTTAATCGACTGGGTTTTAGCACGAGGCTGCGATATCTCCCCGAGGACGGCCTCGGAAACGTATTCCACGCGCGGCGCTACCGCGTTAGCATAGTCGCGTCACGAGCAAAAACGCCGAGGACTCGCCGCGCAAACGCCCACGTATATACACTTACGTGTAGACGTGGGGCGTACGCTCAGGCACGAGACGCGCGGGGCCCTAAAAGCTGAAGCGCATCGCGAATGAAGATATCCACTCCCGCCTTTTCCTCCTCTATACGAGATCGCCGAGGCGCATTCTGATCGTTACGCGACGACGGGACGACGCGCGTCGTCCTGCGCTTGCTCGTTTGCGCGCGCGTTAAGTCTCGCGTATTCGCACGCTATTCTCAGAGGCGTGCGTCGTGCCGTCCCGAATAACGTAGCGACGATTATAACAAGTCCACGAGAGGAAACGCACCGTAAGATACCGCCGAGCCCAGCGCTTAGGAGCTCTCCTTCCCTCCTTCCCTCTCTCTCTCTCTCTCTCTCTCTCGCTCGTGAATTCAACGGAAGGTAGGTTAGCGGGCAAAGCCGCGCATCGGCTGATCCAAACAGGTGGTCATCGAAAGCGGCGCGGCTAGGGAGGGAGAGAGAAATAGGATTCGCGCGAGGCAGGAGTGGCAGGAGAGAGGAGAGCGAGGAGGCGGAGGCGAGGGAGATTGAGCTCCGGTAAGATCGCGGACGGGTGGGTGGATTGCTCCGTGCCGATATACTGGGACGCGAGGTAGACAGAGAGAGAGAGAGAGAGAGAGAGAGTTGGGGGGGCCAAGGGGTGGGGAGCTGGTGGCAGAGGGGAGGCAGGGGGAGAGGGAGGAGAGGCACGTATCCGTGTTTCCACACTGGTGGTACATCCGATGCAAGATACGACGCGTCACGACCCGCGCTCACCGCGCCGTATAGCCGATGCACCGTGTAAACTGTCCCGCGCGGTATCGAGCGGCACGGCGCGGTACGTTATAGGCCCGAGGATGCCGGATAGTTTACACGGTGGTGCCTTACCGGTGGTCGTATTGTTCGCCCGGCATGGCCCGCATATGCAGCCTGTTGCATATCAATGCGCGAGACTCGAGTGTGTACCTCTCCTTCTTCGCCGAGCGACGACGCGGATCTTCCCCCCCCCTCTCTCTCTCTCTCTCTCTTTTTCCTATTCTTCTCCGTCCTCTCCTCCCTTCGCGCTTCTCGTTGGTCCCGCTCGTCCTCGTCCTCGGCTGGACTCGCGTTGCTGCGTCTCACTCGCTCCGTCGGTGCGAGGGAAAGGGAGGATCTCCGCGGACGTAAGCTTCGCTATCTGGGGTTAAAAAGTATCCTGACCCCGTGCGACGCATGGTTCCGATTCATGGTAGATTCCCGCAGTCGTCGTCGTCGTCGTCCTCGTCGTCGTCGTCGTCGTGGTATACGTCTCGACCGCGTAGGAACGTCCGGTCGCGATCTGGCCGCAGCAGGAAACGCGTTTCTCGGATTCTTCTCGCTCGTCCCGCAGCAACGATACGCGTAAATAAATCGTAATCACGATGTGTGACCGATGACGTGGCGGCGGGTCGATGACGAGTCTCGAAAAAGACCGCGCGGAATAATCTACCCTTCCCCGTCTCTCCCACCAGCTTCATTCCAGACTCTCGACGTCGAATTCCCACGATTGTCGCGGATCGACGTCGCTCGAAAGTCAGCCGCGAGGGAGAAAACGCGCGGAAATAACACACGGCACGTAGGTGCCCCTCACATGACACGGAACAACGAGTACCGTCTCGCGCGCCGCGCACTCAAAGTTGTCCTTCCGGCATCGGCGCAATCGGCCGGTCGGTTTCAGAACCCGACTTCCAATCGGCCACGCGTCCGGCCGAGAACCAGTTCGCGCAGAAGAACGCAGCCTGACACTCAGGCCCGCAATATTTGACACACGGCAGCCAATCAGATTATCAGATTAAAGTTGAACGGGCAGGGCGATCGTCGGCACAGGTGCGGTTCTGAGGTGTGTGAGAAAGAGACAGAGAGCAAGAGAGAGAGAGAGAGAGAGAGGGGGGGGGGAAGGGGGAAGAAGAGAAGAATTTCGCGAGCGCGCATTGACGTGCACCGGCGGTTCGTGCTACCATTTCGCGACACCTGTTCCAATGCAACCAATACAACGCCTGAGCGGATCCCGATGAAGCACGACGAGCGGGCTCTCCGTTTTACATTTCCATTAGATCAATTACGTTGATCAATCGGGGCCTTGCCTAAGAGGCAACCGAGGCGACGATGAAAACTGCATTAACGCCGCAATGTCAGCGTCGCCGACGCTGTTCGCACGCGGAGAAACTCACCCCGACTTGAACGCGATCGAGAAACATCTCTGGCGACTTGTCGATCTCGCCGAGACAAACTCGAGACAGACTCGACGGGTTTCCGTCAACAGAGTGTGACGGAAGTCCATGGGAGTTGCCACTCTGGCCAAGGACGCGTCCGTCGAACGACTCGCGGAACAACTCGCGAAACGACCCGCGTTGACCGTGCGCGCATGTACAAATTAACGTTAACAAACTGGCCGGCCGGTTTGATTTCTGCGTGCGACATGACGCTCGTGTGTGGATGGCCCAATCAGATTATCAGATCGAGTCGAACGTTGAAATAAGCGGGCATCTCGGGGCGGGGGGAGGGGGGGAGTGAGACAGTGCCGAGGGGCTACCACTTTACGACCACCTGTTCCGATAAAGCGGACCTTGCGCGAGCGCCGGTCGGATCGCGAAAAACGCGATCGTTAAGCAGCCAGCAGGCCGACGGAAGAGCGATCGTTTCGACGATGCTTCGGAGCTGTTAAAACCGACGTAGACGAACTCCTTATTGGGAAGCAGTCGTTTGGTTTGCACGGACAGCCCCGGCTGACCGAACCTCCCATAAAACCTGGCGACAAAGTGAGGAACGCGCTTCATTTTACGGCCGAGTTTATGGCACCTGAGGGAGAATCATCGCGCTGTGATCGCGTCGACTAGAGAAGACCGGTCTTATCTTATCCGCGGAACGAGCGGCCGCTCCCAGCCTTTCCAAGGCGAGATCCTCCGCCGAGAGGGGGAGAGAGAGAGAGAGAGAGAGAGAGAGAGAGAGAGAGAGAGAGAGAGAGAGAGAAGAAGAAGACCAAGGCGAAAATATATCGGAAATCGTGACGTTTGCGGATTTGAAGGTTGCGTTCGGAAATGGAGACGTGGCGCAATCGCCGACGGTGATGAAGGAGAAGGAGGGAACGGGGCGTGGGGGACGGGAATCATCGAACATTGGAATCGAGTCGCTCTACGTGCTCACCTGACTTGATTTCGCCAGATCGCTCGGCGGACTGGAATGCATAGAAAGTGCGACGATGATTGATACACGGCTTGCCGATAGAAAGTACGACGGACCTGCGACATTGGGACGAAGATCGTGTTGGAAATCTCTCTCTCTCTCTCTCTCTCTCTCTCTCTTTCTCCCTCTCTCCCTCTCTCTCTGTTTCTTTCTTTCTCTCACGTTGACGCGAAGGCGCGACGAAGCAGTCAATCGGTCAGTACACACCGGTAGTTTGCTCTCTCGTGCCGCGAGGGTCCCGCGCGAACGCGAAACAACACGACCGTTGTTGAACAGCAGTTTCGCAGCACGCGGAAGAGGCGATAACGACGGTAACAAGCGTCTTCGTTAGAGGGTTAAGGCGCAATCGGCAGGCGCTGATCAGAAAGTCGCGGCGCTCTTTTGCGCGCGAACTTTCTTCTTCCGTTCGATTATACGCCTCGGCGATCCGCGGGGAAAAAAGATTCTCGCGGAGCGAACGACGAGCGCGTCATATGCGTGTGAGAGAAACGTGCATTCGCATACGGCTCGAGAAGATCGGGTTCTCTGACGACTCTTCCATAAGGAGCTCTTCGCGGACGGGTGGAGGAATATTATCCAGTCACGCTAATCGAGCACTTCGAAGTAGATCACTCGCGTCATTCTCGTTGGTCCACGGCCGTACAATTTAAACGGCCGATAATTAGAAGGAGCAATGTTGCGAAATTCTGAGGTGATCTCACGGGCACTCTGGGAGCGAGTATTTCGTGCTTTTCGGGCTCTGGCATTCCTGTCGAAAGAATGCGCTTCACGAGTGCCGGTCGGGAAGACACGGGGCGAACGAAGAGATCGGAACGGGCAGGACGAAAGAGAAGGATACGAAGGAGGAGGATGAGACCGAGGATGAGGAGCGCGAGGGGAATGAGGAGGACGAGGGGGAGGGGGAGGAGGAGGAGGAGGAGGACCGTCGTCGTCGCCGAGATCGCATAAATCGTCGTGAGTCGGATTCCGGGCAGCCGAACGCAAGCCGCCATTGTCCGAGACTTTTTGCCCCTCTCTCCCTACCATGAGAGCTGCCGCTACGGAGCTGCACTCTTTGCATATGCTTTAAATATCGCCGCTCCGCGCGCTCGCTTTGAGGGCTCCCAGCACCACGTTCTCTCCTCTCCTCTCCTCTCCTCAGCCCTGCGCTGCGCGAAGAAAAGACAGCGGCGAAGGGCGCGCGCGGGAGGGTGGGAGTAGGAGGAATGAGAGATGAGGAACGTCGAGAGAGGGACCCAAAGTTCGCTGACTGTCGACTCCTCTCGTCGCAATCGGCGGAACGCATTAGATGCATCGCGCGCCCTGCGATTTTTATC